TCGGGCGTAACCTGGCATCCCAGGTAGCGGAAGGCATCAACACGCTCTACTGCGCCATCTAAAGGAGCTCTGTCTGATGGTAATACTCCACTCCCGGTAGGCATGTACTTAGTTTTTGCTGTGTCGACGGTCAAGCCAAACGCGCTCGCGACTGTCTGGAAGGCAGAGAGTGCCCGCTCAGCTCCAGCATAAGTGTTGGCAAGCAGCGCCGAGTCATCAGCAAATTGGCACTCAGTGATTCGAACACGGGTGAGTTCCCTCAGCTTTGTGTTGAATAACTGGTTCACTCGGTACTGAGAGATGTCAATCCCGATCTCCTCATCACCCGCTATCATAACATGCCACCTATCGACAACAGCGCCCATGTATAGATTGAATAACACCGGCGCCATAGTGCAACCTTGGCGTAAGCCAGTTCCGACGGATATGGGGTCCAACAGATTACCATCTATGCGGATAGATGCCGACATGTCATCATGGAAAGAGCGGATAATGGACACTAGCAGTAGTCTCTCTCTCTCACACACACACACACATGCACACACAAATACGCACACACCTCAGACCTCAGACCTCAGACATGCCCATCGCATAAGCGATGATAGCGAACAGCTATGTTAGACATAGCTACTTGCGCTGGGATTACACCATTCAACAGCTTGCAAGGCTGTTGAATTGACCGCCACTATTTTCTAGCCTGGTATCCACCACACAGCTGATTGAAGTGGCTTTTACACACACACACACACACACACACACACACACACACACACACACACACACACACACACACACACACACACACACACACACACACACACACACACACACACACACACACACACACACACACACACACAACACACACACACACCTTTGGACCTTTGGAAAGCCCATCGCCGAAGGCGATGATAGCTATTAGGCGAGGCAGTAGTTCTTGTGTCGGGATAAATCATTCGGACGGCGAAAGTCGCGGCCGCAGACACAGACGAACACTCTTGGTTGGGGCTGGCTTGGTGGCTTCCGACGGCTACGTTCGCGCCAGTCCCTCCGGTCCTGAGCAAGGTGGTACCATTGCGCCTCCGGGATACCGGTCGCACGCAGGCCTGAAGCTGCTACATCTCTCCAACGACGCTTGGGTCCATGGCGGGGCCGCGTGTTAGTGCCCTCCGCAAACAGGATCTGCTTTGGCAACCTGGTGTCGTCCATCCTTGCGAGGTGACCAAGCCATCGCAGACACACACACACACACGCGCGCGCACGCACGCGCACACACAAACACACACACAAAATACAAAATAGGCAGCGGGACCACCAGCTAGATCATGCAATCTTGCAGACAAATAACGGAGGTAGAACTTGTTTTCTTGACGACACTTGGACACAAGCTCTGACCGCTTGTTGAGGGTGCGAGTCTTTTCGGCCCAGGCAATCTCTAGCTTCTCGGCCAGACACAGGTTGCAGCGCTTCGAGATGTTAGAGTATGGTGCGGCTCTCCTCACAACGGACCACCTGATACTGTAAGGTTTGTTTTCATCCTTCAGTCTCCAGATTTGTCTGGACAGTCTCGTTGAGGTCTCATGCTTGTGGTGGCGGATGGTATATGGATGACCATTGAATCGTGTCTGCAATGTCCCTTCCAGTGTACTCCTTCATGTTGCTGCCGGTTACATGTGCCCTGTACACAATGCTCGATGCTAGACAGTTTCCTTCCAAGGGGCAATCATTTTTGACACGGCAGTTACAGGTTCTCACATTCCTGGTCTTATTCTGGTGGTCGCTGCGGAGGATACTATTGTTGACTTGCTTGATGATGGTGGCGACATTTGGCATGCAACTGTAACTGAACTTTAAGAGTTTGCATCATTTGTGGAAGTGCTTGGTGACGAGTTGCAGGAATCGCTGACCAATGTTCGTAGACACATTCTTACTGAACGGTGGGTTAAACCAGGTAATATTCCGGTGTTGACTCCTTTGTTTCTTCTTTTTCCCACTCTTCCATTCCTCCAAGAACTGGACGATCTCATTGTACCCGCTGTCTTTGAGCACATTGTTATACATTTGAGATGCATCCTGGAATGTCTCTTGGTCCGTTGATATGTCCGTTAGTCGTCGGCTGATGGAAAAGGACAAGTTCTGGATGATGATTGATGGGTGGTTGGATTGGTGATGGACTTTCAGTGGCCGGTCGTTGGGCTTCCGGTATGGACGGTATTTGCCGGTGTGTAGGTCCAGCGTAATGTCTAGGAAGTCGACTGATTTCAAGTTTGCCTGGATGGTGATTTTTACTCCTAGGCTGTTGAAAATTTTGGTCATGTCTTTCCTGATCCTGTCAACTTCCGGTCCCGATACGTCCCGGAACACCGCCAGCCCATCGTCACGGTAGAGTCCAATTTCACTGCCGTTGTACACCTCGGATAGTTTGGCAAGGGCTAGCGCACCGACCAACTCACAGAATTCAGCACCGCCATAGCATCCCATTGTCCCATCGAATACTCCG